AAAAAAAAAAAAAAAAAAAAAAAAAAAAAAAAAAAAAGTCCAGTGATATGAATCAATCACATGAAATGTAAAGGTTTAACACTCCCACTGAAGGCAGAGATACTGGATCATACGGCAAGGCCCACCTACAAGGAGTCTACAAGCAAAACACTTTAAATATACAAAAGTCAAGTGAATGTCTATACTCACTAGCTATAGTCAGTAACTGAATTAAATAGTAATGCTGCATAATCATAAGCCAGCCACAAAATTAACAAACAAACAAACACCGGGGCTGTTCCACATTGACAGGGCCGAAGAGGCAAGCAGAAAGAGCTCCCAATGGCCAGAGATAGAGAAATTTGGGCAACAACAACAAAAAAAAAACAATGAAAAAGTTGGATTATAACCCAAAGGGTAAAATAAAATCCATCTGATACAAATGAGTAAGAGAACAAATAAATAAATGGAACAGGAGTAAAACCTCCTTAGAGAAAAAAAATTTCTAGTGATAAATGTATAAAGAATGAAGAAAATAGAAAAAAGCACCACCAGAACTGCAGCTGTGGTGCACAGGCTCTTAGCCAGCGGCTGCTGAAGTGCACAGGCAAATGTTTAAGAAGGAACAGATCATTTGTGCAGCCTTAAAGAATCCCCTCTCTCAAAGGATCACTGATTCAAAAAAGAAAAAAATAGTAACTGCATAGTGGTACAACATGACCCACACTACCCATACCTAGTAAGAAGACGTAGTAACATCAGGAAGAGAAAACTTCTGGTCATACCCAACTGAGGGACCCGGGGTGCAGCGTTGGACCTCTGCTCTCCCAAACACCAAGCTGTAAAGCACAGAGCAGCACAGGTGTGGCAGAGTGGGAGAAGACACCTAAACACAAAGTGGGAGGCTCCTGATGAAAAATAACATCAGTGGGGGAACTGGTGAAAACAAGGAAAGCCTGCCATTGGTAGTATTACTGTGTAAGTGTTTTTATAATTGTACCAAGATTATGCAAGATGTGAACATCAGGGCAAAGCTGGGTGAAGAATATATGAGAATTCTCTGCACTATTTATGCAACTCTCCTGCTATTTTAAAATTATCTCAAAATAAAAAGCTTTAAAAATAATACCACTTACATTAGTATAGGGAAATGTTAGGAAATAAATTTCTCAAGCGTGTGCAAGGCTTGGACAATGAAAAGCCGCAAAGCATTGCTGAGGGAAATTAGAGCGGTGTAGGTGAATGACGACACGGAGGGGCTCGACCTGCAGACTCGACAGTGCTGAGATGTTTATTCTACCGGGAACCTGTAGATTCAGCTTAATCCCCGTTAAAACCGAAACTGTCTTTTTGCACACATGGACAAACCAGTTCTGAAGTTTGTATAGAAATGCAGTGGGTACAGAGAACAGCGAGAGCAATAGAAAAAGTAGAAGGGTTTTACTATTCAGTTCTAAGACTGCCTGTGAAACCACGGTAATTAAAGCAGGGGCCAACAGTGCAAGCCGTGAAGGCCGGGACAGACACACAGCTGCACACCTGTAGGTGCACAGTACAGTCTCCGTGTCTGAAGAAGGACCCCGGTTGAACTGCTGTGGAAATCAAATTCTTTAAAATAGCAAACTATGTGGAAATATTTAGAGGCTGTATCTATCTGTAAAAATATACAAAAACATCTTTATATCTTAAAATATACACACATTTAAAACAAACTATAAAAGTTGTTATCAAATTATGAAACATTAATCATGATCATATTATAAATACATTTATATTATGAAATATAGAGCCAAAACTGCATTAACATAATAAATTATTATTAAACATATGGCTTGCATAATATATATTATAAATACAGATAATGCATTTATATAAAATTTATATAAAAATACAAGCCTCAATCCCTTTCTCTAATATTACCGAAAAATTAACTTATCATGAAGCACAGACCTAAATATCCAAATTGTAAAATTTCTAGAGAATATATTTGTGACATTGGTATAGACAAAATTCTTTTTCTTTTTTTTGGTACAGGGGATTGAACTGGGGACCTAGTGCTTGTGAGGCAGGAGGCAGAACCACTAAGTTAATCCCCCACCCAAGACAAAATTTTTAACAGAACTCAAAAGCTATGAAAGTAAAAATTGATAAACATTGCTGTCAACAACATGAATAATACCTGCCTTCTAAAAGCCCCATTAGGAAAATGAAAAGTCACAGATGGTGAAAATGCATTTGCTATCCAGGCATTTGGTAAAGACCCATTTCAGAGAATATGAAAAATTCTTAACAACTTTGTAACAACAAGATATACAAAGCCAGGCATGATGTGCACCAGTAGTCCCCGCTGCCTGGGAGGCTGAGGCAGGAGGATCACTTGAACCTGGGAG